AGTGGTATATATTATTTTTGTTTTCAGGTTAAAAATACTTAAATCGAGACTTAAATCTTCAATCGATCTTGTCAATTTGAGTTTAAACAAAATCATCCTGATGATTGCAATAAACCCTATGCATTCATAAAATGTCTGTTATAAGTGCATCAAGGTTAAGAAAAGCGGGTCGCTGGTAGTTAAGATAGTAGCTATGGCGATAGACACCTATTTCGAGAGTGGCATTTGATAACTATTTATATACCTTTAAGGATGTAAAGGTAGCGTCACAATATTGGTGGATGGTATAGTATAGGAGCAGGTTTATATTTGGAAAACTAAACGACAAAATGCGTGTGGGTCCTACTAACTCATCTAGCGTATTCCAAGTAAGCAGTTGGAAAAACAACTTTCGTGCTTAAGCTGACTAATGTACCGTACAAAGGAAATTAGAACAAAACAGCATTTTAGTCACTTTTTTTAATTATAAATGTCGTTTATTTTTGATATAGAATGTGTCATATTTGAAAGACTTTCAACAATTTTACAAATCATTAATTATAACCACGTATCATTTATGGTGTGCCGCTTTTTTTATTTTAAATATCGATTACTTTGTCAATTAAACAACGTTAGAGTATAGGTTGATTAGCAATAGGAATGGGAAATCTCAGAGACACGTTATAACCACATAAAACTTTTAATTAAGTTTATATGAAATGACATTAGCAAGGGTAAAAAAGCACATACGTATAAAAGTTGAAGTGTTTCGAATACTGTGGTAGCATATTAAATTCTCTGTTATAAATCCACAATAAAAACACGTATAAAAATCTTCTAGAAAAAATTTAAAAAACATTTAATTCCAGTAGAAGAGGCGTAGACAAATAAGTGTATGCGGAAATACGAGACAAACAAATAAAATGAAATGTCCAAAATGAAGGACGAAACTTCCTAAAACGGTGCTTAAATGTCAATATACTCGTAAACTTCATGACACATGGAAAAGAAATTAAACGGCCATTTTGCCATTATAATTAAGTGTGTGTTTCGGTACTAAACACGTTCTGCGAGTAAGACACACATGAAATACATTTTTTCGTCCATGTAATACGAAATTTGAACCGAACTTATGGTTATTTGAAGCATCAGTACATTCCCACTATACTTTCTAGTTGGAGGCAAGTGTTTTCCGTTTGCAGTGATTGCATGTCCTGTTTGATTGTGTCTATGGCAGACTGGCATATGAGTTGAACAATAGCGTTTCTTTTTTTTCGCCCACAGTTATTCGCAGATATCTACTGACTTTAATATTGGTGGTTGCTATTGCCAACTTGGAAAAAGAGAAATAGAAATTCGACAAGCATGGGCTCATCTACTACTACCACGTTTAACATGTTGGTCATGCAAGTTGTCCGTCATATTCATTATGATCTTGTTAATGTTCATGGATCTATTATTACACTCGTTAGCTGTGGTTTGTCTGTCAATAGGGAAAAAAAATTTAGATAGACATTAGAATTGCGTGCGTGTCATATAAGTTTCCTTTGAATACAAGTGAAATGCGCACTAAGGATTTTTTTTGTATTTGAAGCTACAAGAAGATATTAAATAACTAGAAAAATTAAATACAAAAGACAAAAATTAGGAAGTTTCAGAGTTTGAAAAGTTTATCATATTTATGTAAAACAAAGTTACAATATTAGAAAAAATATTGTTACATTTTTGTATTAAAAATTAGAAACTCTATATCACTATTCTATCATTTATAAAGAAAATCAAAATAGCCCCTATAAACTAAACTGACTCAGTGGTCAAATCTATCTTTATTTATCGACTAACATTGAAAACAACATGAGTTCCAGAAATAAAATCCGAAAACTGCACTAAAGTAAAATGAAAGCGAACCAAGTAATCAATTAAACCCCAAAATAAATTTCATTATTCAAAAATAACAAATGAGAAGAATTTCAGAGAAGCTTAAAACCAGAAAGAAAATCGTTTTGGAGTATTAACAGCTACTTTCGTTTGAAAAACAATTGTAAACCTCCACCTCTACATGACACAAATAGACTTTAATTCTTAATTGAAGATAACGCTGCAGTAAATGCCAATTCTCTGGAACAAGAATTTCACGAGAACATCGATTCATCAGATGTTTCAGACAATGAGCAAACTATCAGAAATGAATTCAATAACATTATGTTCCAAAACTTTGAATCTGTTTACTCTAAACTAATTCTCAAGAAATAAGGGATCTGGTTAAAAACGTTTAAAGAAGATCCGCATTAGGCTACGGTGAAATTGGCAAGTGCTGTATTCAGAATCTACCGGACAATGATCTGAATAGAATTTCGTAGTTAATCCTTCTTTTAGACACATTTCAAAACTCTGGAGGCGGTAACCATAATCCCAAAACTGGGAAAAAATACTACTTTACTCCCAAAATTTAGACTTATCAACATATTGTGAGTTTTATGTAAAATAGTTGAAAGAATTAGAAACTTTTATCATCAACAGCAAAAAAAATTGGGGACAACTTTATGGATTATAAGAAGGATACGGATGGGTGTAAGTCTATCACATATTCTGAAGTTGATATGCATCCACTTGATATATGCAAATGATATGCAAATAGACATATATCTAATGAGAATGCGAATGGATTATGGATGTGGATTATGAGAATAATACGAATTTAAATAAAGCTGTCACATTTTATGATATAGATATACATTCACGAATGCGGACGAATCAATTAAAACCCTTTATCATATATTTCAAAAGGTATGGAAACACAAGTATTTAAATAACATTGTAACATATATAGCTCGAAGGAGACTATGTAGAAAAAAAATTTTAGAATGAAGTTTTCTTTTATTTATTCCATTCCGATTCCTTCTCAATTAACTAAGAAAGCCGTTTTAAGTTCACAAATCCTCGGTAGAAGAAGGTTAAGCTAGAACAAGCCAGAAGTTTTTATAAAGGTGAGTCTGCTAATGCTAAAGTGTGATAAAGAAGGAGGATCCCAAAAACTTAGAAACCCTCCAGCTTAGTTCCGGACATGCCTGGAGATGCAAACAACAGGTTTTCTGGTATCCTTTCTTGTAGCGCCGGTAGCCATGCGTAGCAGGAGATAGTTATCATTTAATTTTGTAATATTTATAAATCCATTAAATTCTATACTTTGGACTTTATACATATAGAAATTTAATTTGGAATCACAGACAAGAAATTTAACTAAAATGAAATTTAACGAAAATGGGGTCTGTTTAACAACTATTTGATATTTTTAAGGGTAGATTTAACCAAATAATGCCCATATATAACTTTTGAGACATTGAAAAAGTTCGCCGCCTACAGTTACAAATTTACAATTTTACAAAAGAAATTTGGTTTTTTTTCTGTTTTTTCAAGAAATTGCCTGACATATAATAAGCCACTTAAGCTCCTTAAAAACGACAATACAAAAAACATTCCTTTAAGGCAATAAAATAATGTTGAGTAAAAAATCATGTCCATATAAATTGGAGAACACTCAGAATTATTCAGAATTGTTGAGGATTGCTGTGTTAAAATTTTAATAAGGATCAACAGCGAGGATGTAAATTGAGTGAAAAATGAATATTTAATGTTTTCATTATTCAAAATAAAAAATAAAAATAAAAAATATATAAAACAACAAAATGAAAAGGACGAAGATACAATAAAAAAGAACGACAAGAAAATAAATGTTAAGAATTTAAAATTTTCAAGATATTTTTATACATCCTTAAATAGCACATAAGTGAAATTGTGGGAGTAGACAAATACAATGCTCTTTTCCTTCCATTTGCAACATTCAACATTTTTATAAGTAACAGGCAATAAAATAGTGAATATGGCTCATATATTCTCAGTACCAACATCTTCACATGTTGCAAGCATCCCACATGTGCAATTTAGTGAAATGTGCCAACACTCGTACTTCCATTTGTATATTCAAGCAGACCTTCTTCCTATCCTATTCACATTTATTATGTCTCAAAGATACTTTGTTGTAAATTGCAAAATATTAAGCAAAGAAAAAAATTTAATAGCATTTCTTTTATTTTAATGTAAAAGTTTTGTGAAACAAATTTTAAAGTAAATTTTGTACTTCTTCGTATTTATTTTTGAACGAAGTTCTTAGTTTTTGCAAATAATGAGAAACAGTTAAAGTACACACTGTAGCAGACATATTTCATCTATTTTCTACGATTTTATATCTCTCAAAAGCCTAATATAAATTAACTTTACATAAGGAAAAGTAGTTTTAAAAAAATAATCTTCATTTTCCTCATGAACAAGAAAGCAGTTCGTGATACTTAAGACTGAAAAACTTTGTGTGAACGGGATTTATGCAATTAAAATAAATAATTTTTTTAATTATAAAAGTTCAGAACACTCATTAAGTAAAAAGAATGTTCAGTGGAGAATTATTTACAACATTTACCGAGATACAGTGCCAAAGAAAAGTCCACAGGAAAAATAAAATCTTTTTGGAAAAGTCTTCAATATCTCAAAAACTTCAAATACCTTCACTTATTTATTAATTAGTCTAATTAAAACCACTAATTTAATATTTAAATGATTATTTTGCTTAAATAGGCTCTCACGATATATTAGAAGTGAGATATAATATATTGAAGCTGCTGGTTTTAACAGATTTAAATCAAGTGAAATTTCATAATCAGATAAAGAAAGTCCACAGCACTCATTGTAAGCTAAATATTCAAGAGGTTTTATAAAATCTAATAAATTGAAATTCGGTTAAGTTATATGGCAGCAAGATTTGTGGACTGAAGACTGCAGCAGTAGCATATTGTTGCACGATATTTGATTTTAAACAGGCGCTACTAGCAAGAAATAAACGAGAGCCTAAATTACTTTTCGAAAAAAA